GTTCTTTTTTTTTTTTTTTTTTTTTTAAGTAGGCTCCGCGCCCAGTATGGAGCCCAACGTGGGGCTTGAACTCATGATCCTGAGATCAAGACCTGAGCTGAAATCAAGAGTTGAACACTTAACTGAGCCACTCAGGTGCCCCAAAGATATAGTGCTTTTGATTCTACATATTATCTTCCTATGAGAAATTTTGTCTCAAGCCATAAATTTCCAAGTGCATTCCTTTTTTTCTTTCATTCTATAGGTATAAAATTATCTCTATGGCAAAGTCTCTTACTATGTTGTTTTTTAAGGTAATGTTTAAAGGCTCTTTGTGATAGTTTGTAATCAGATGGTTATACCTTCAGGAATCCTTACTTATTTTACATTCAATTTCTTCCTTTCCTGCTCCAGTTAAGCAAACAATAACAAAAAACCCCACTAATCAACAAGTGACCTTGCACACTAGCATTGATTGAGATAATTTCAGGATAATGTGTCTTCTCCAAATAGTAATTTGCTGTCCAAAATTAATAGAAAGCACCCATAATATGAGAGATACTATTAGCAAATGGGCTATTATTTTTTATATTTTTAAATGAAGTCTTATGTATTTCAATTAAATTTCAATAACTTGAGCCCTGTGATCTCCCTACTGCCCTTGACTCGAGTTACTTAAGAGTCGTGTGATTTGCCTCAGCTATAGGCCCTGCTTGACTTACTGGTAAGGCTTATTTCTCAGGTTGTTGTGATACTTGCGGAATGAGATACTTAGAACTTCCCGGAAGGATTTTTTTCCTTCTTTTTTGTGAGAGTTACTAGAAAAGCAGCTGGAGGATCATTGAAAGTTACATTAAGGATGTGACAACTCACATTGTTGCAGTCATTTCTCTGAGTACCAAGCCATGAAGCCCACACATGGAGGAAGACATGGCTGAGAGACTGGTAGAGAAGTGGAGTCCTTGACTAATGCTGTGAACCTCTTGGTCAAAGACCAAAGTTAGCTGAGTATATGGAGTATTCAGTCCTATGACCTGATAAATTCACCTAAAACTGTTTGAGTTGGATTTTTGTTATATATTATTTTTTTTAAATCCTTATTAATAGAAATCATCTTGTGATCAATTTTGAGTACTGATAAACTTAATATTTTACTGTTTCTAGTATAATTTGTAATTCTAATCACATTAGAGTAGCATCTTTAATTCAGCAAATATTTTAGTCATTCCAGATATATAAATCTATACTATTTCCATATAAGGGTGGATTGATACCATGTTTTTTTAAGCTTTTCTTGTTCATATTACCCTCTAGAAACTAAAAGCATTTTTATGCTAAGGCTCTGTGATGGAAATTGCAGGAAATACGACTCCTTGTGAAAAATACTTGAATGACAATTCTGTATAAAGCCCATTTGTAAGGTAGACACATAAATGATATTTAAGTGCCTCATTTTGTGTCACCTTTTATATTAAATGTATACGTATTCAGTAAATTTTTAATAAAAGACTACTTTCATCAAAGTTAGGCTTTAGGGGCACCTGGCTGGCTCAGTCAGTAGAACATGTGACTCTTGATCTTGGGAGTCATGAGTTCAGACCCCACAATGGGTTTAGAGCCTACTTAAAGCCTACCTCCTTTTTTTCTTTTCGTCTTAATCTAGACTTTTAGTGGCTCTCCATTTTGTTCATGAATTCCAAATATTTTCATCAATGGAAGATTCCATAATTTAGCTTACACGTTTCCAACCTTATTTCCTATCCTTTTTCATGTTCAGTGAGATTAATGTGTTTCCCTCATCCATGCCTTTGCTCCCCCCCCGACTTGTTCTTTCCAATCCTTTCTGCCTATGGAATTAAAACCCATCATTTTTGCCCCAGTTCTGATCCTACCTCTTCAGTAAAATCTTTGTCAATTATCTACCATGAATGTAAGTGATCTCTCTTACAAAATACTTTATTTCTTCTTGTAAGAAAATTCAAATAATACTGAATACGTTAAAGTAAAACAAATGCCCTTCATTCTTAGTCCAGTCCTCCAGAGGAGAACCTCTTAATGGTTTAGATTCCTCGTTGTTTTTCTACATATGTTTAAGCGTATGTGACATACTTGGTTATTACTTCTTTTGACTACCATATTGGAGAGCACAGTCTAGAGGCTTAATCATATTTAAGTTTGATTTTTCTTTTGGCAAGAATATTTCAAGAATGGTGATATGTACTTCATACTGCATCATAACAGGAAACATCATCTGGTGGTCTTTTCTTGTGATGTTTAGTTGGATCAGTGAATTGTTAGCCTGATCTACTACCCATTTTAAAGATCCCCATTATTCTCTCACTGAATGATTTTATCTATCTCATTTTTTTAAATTGTCATAGAAAGCTACTTGACTGTTAATATAGTAAAGTAATAGATTGTTAAAAGGCCAGGCTCTGGAGCGACACCGTCTGCCATTTATGACCTGCAGCTAATGACTGCATATCTTTGTGCCTTAGTTTCCCCTATTGTGAGTTAGGTGCCTCACGGGGTTTTTTTTCAAGGATCAAATGTGTTAAATGTTTAAAACAGTGCATGGTACATTGTGTCAGTAAATATTGTTAATATATTGATTTAGAAGTGCTATTTTGCTGTCTTTGCATTGGCATTTATTTGCATGGGAAATGCTTTATTGGATAATATTTATTGTATTCTGTCTGGCAGTGAGACCAGCTCACATTGTAGGAAAACAAAGTGCTATTTAAATGATAAAAAAAACTTCATATATGTCTAGCATCTATGTTTTTTTTTAAAGATTTTATTTATTTATTTGACAGCGAGAGAGAGAGAGAGAGAGAGAGAGTGCACACACAAGCAGGGGGAAAGGGAGTGCACGCTGAGCAGGGAGCCTGATGTGGGGCTCCATCCCAGGATACTGGGATCATGACCTGAGCTGAAGGCAGTCGCTTAACCAACTGAGCCATCCAGGTGCCCCACATCTATAATTTTTAATAGAGAAACATTAGCAGAAAAGAGGATTTGTTACATTTGAGTTTGTAACAAAGAAAAAAAACATTGATCATAATTACATATATCCTATATATTAGGAAAAAGAAAAAGAAATTAGTGACCTTTGACTCTCAAAAGCTGTATAGTTCTTTGGGATGGGAGATAGTATAAATGAGCATACACAGTCTTTAATAACTTGAGAAAGAAGTCTCTAAAAACCCGGTGCAGTTATCCAAAGGAGCTCTCAGATTAACAGAGCATAGATTTACTAGATGGAAGGGGAGATGCACAACTAAAGAATTATAAAACAATAATACAAACCTTTATAAACACTGGCAGTAACTATAAGCTGGAGTTTATAGAAAATGCTTAAGACAGCATAAATTTTTTATTTTTTATTTTATTTTTATTTATTTATTTATTTTTAAAGATTTCATTTATTTATTTGACAGAGAGACACAGCGAGAGAGGAAATACAAGCAGGGGGAAAGGGAGAGGGAGAAGCAGACTCCCTGCTGAGCAGGGAGCCTGACGCGGGGCTCGATACCAGGACCCTGGGATCATGACCTGAGCTGAAGGCAGACGCTTAACGACTGAGCCACCCAGGCGCCCTGACAGCATAAATTTTTTAAAAAGTAATATCTCAAATTAGAAGATTAAGCCTCACAGGACCATCAGATTTTTAAGGGGGATAGAACCATCAGTTTATTATTTTACAACTGTTTGATTCAGTAGGGAGAAATAGTCTTTGAGTTGGAAAAAATAATAGTAATATAAAAAGAATTATAGGCCTTGGTAGGAAAGCAGCTAGTAAGTAAAGCACTTGATCACTTTAAGTGTGTTTCATTTTCTTCATTTAAATTAATGTCTTCTGTAGCTGCCAGTAAAGACTTGCAAATCTACCCATGAAATTGTATAATCTTTAAGATTTTTTTTTAAAAGATTTTATTTTATTTGAGAGAGGGCACGTGCGAGTGTGGGTAGGGGCAGAGGGAGAGGGAGAGAAACCTAAGCAGACTCCCGATGAATGCAGAACCCCATGATGTAGGGCTCGATCTCAGGATCACAAGATCACGATCTGAGCTGAAACCAAGAGTCAGACAGACACTTAATTGAGTCACCCAGGCGCCCCTTTGAGAAGTTCATGAAAAATGTATTTGTTACCTAGAGATGATCAAATCTAGATTGATTTATTTTTTATTATTATTTTTTTAGAAGGGAAAAATGTGGATTCTGGAAACTATAAGCCTGTAACTTGTTACTGATTTGTTAAATTTCTGGAAATAATTTCAGTAGAAGTCTGTGAACATTTATGAAAAAATGCTCATCTAGAAATTTAAAGGTATCCACCAAGAACTTACCATGTCAAATTAACTTCATTTCTTTTGGTAAGATTATCTGTTCAGATGAATTAGAAAAATACTGTAATAATAGTTTCTTACTTTTAGTGGTGCATTTGACAATCTTTTGCCATATTTTTGGATAAGAAATGATGGTGGATTATTGTTTACATTTAAGTAAATAGGTAGATTTATAGTATTTAGATTCAAAGTAGGTCGAAATTGAAAACCAGCATTTGATTACAGGTTCAGTGTTAACTCTTGGGAGAGGTCTTCAAGGCATTACAATAGGATTCTGCCTGTGTCAACATTTCCATTATTGATCTGACTGAAGGGTTAGAAGGTAGGTTTCTCTGCTTGTAGATTATTCACAGCTGGGCTTGGCTAGCTGATACCATAGAAGGCAATCAGGAGCGTCTCCCTAAAACTACTTAACTCATTAGTGTAGAGTGCATTTGTATCTTCCCCTTCTCTTAACATACTTTGATACTTTATATGTAATATAAATTCATGATTTCGATTGCTTCAGGGAAAAAATTTAGTGACTTTTTTTTATCTGCCTCATGGTTTTACCAAATTAATGTATGAATTGTATCTTTTATTATAGTGTGATATCCTTAATGATACAGGTTTAATAATACAAACTGAAAATTGGAAAACATTCTGCATAAAGTATATTTTTATCTGTCCTAGGAATATGAAGCACGAACTGGGAGGACCTGTAAACCACCACCTCAGTCTTCAAGACGTAAGAATTTTGAATTTGAGCCACTTTCTACCACTGCCCTGATTCTTGAGGATCGACCATCGTAAGTATTCTGGTTGTCATCAGGCATGCTTTATATTTTAAACTTCAGTTTAAATTTCAATTTAAATATATTGAGAAATTAGATATAGAAATGGCTTTTTTAAAGAAAATTTTAAAAATCTCAGTCATGTATCCTAAAACTAATAGGGAAGAATATATTATTTTTGTCCAGACTTTATACATATTTTCTTGACGTATCTCTGAGCCAGTGTATGAAACATAAAACCTTTGCTTTTTTCATATCTATTCTTATTTCAACCATCCTGCCTATCTTAACAAGATAAGCAATTATTTTTCCTTTCTTGACATTTAATATGTACTTAAGATGTATTTGTCCTTGCCTTTTGGACAAATTTTGAAATTGCAACTTGAAATAATAACTACTGACTGTCAACTAGTTGGTTTACTATTATAAAGAATATATATATATATATTTTTTAAAGATTTTATTTATTTATTTGAGAGAGTATGAGCGGGGGAGGGAGGAACAGAGGCAGAGGGAGAAGCAGACTTCCCGCTGAGCAGGGAGCCGCACATGGGGCTCGATCCCAGAACCCTGGGATCATGACTTGAGCCGAAGGCAGACGCTTAACAAACTGAGCCCCCCAGGCGCCCCAAGAATATATTCTTAATACCCAGCAACACATTTTAAATTCTTCCCTTTGCTTTTTCTGCCTTTCCCACCTCAGCCTTCCACAAAGCTGGTGTTCTTCCAAATACTGTCTTTGATTTGTTATTAAACAAAAGACACCTTCCCTAAAGCAAGACACTCCTTGGTTCTTAACTCATTTTCCCCTTCTTGGGCTCTCTGGATCTCTTCTTTTTCTTCTTCTAGACTTCTCTTTCCTTCTAGAGTAAAAATTCCTAACCTGTTTTGTCATTTTCCTGGTCTGCAGCTTTTTCCACCCATTATCAAGAGGAGCATAATAAAAGAATCTAGAGCCAAACAGGCAGAGGTTGAATTGAATATTTTTTAGACATTGTGAGAGAAGAAAGGTTGGACATAAGTATATATATATTTTTTTCATTCCTGTTGCATACCTTCAAACTAAAGAATTGTGATCACGACACTCCTTTTAAAGGACTTGGTGAACATGTTCATATTTATTTTTCCATTGGTTAAAAATATATATATATATTTCCAGAAATTTAGTTATGAGAACATGTCAGAGTTTTATTTCAGTCTTACTGCCAGGAAGGAGAGTGAACCAGGCCAATTCAGAGTGGTTAGATAAGCAAGAAAAGAATGCCTGGTTAAAGACCTTCAGACTGCCAGGCAGTCAGCTGAACAGGTAGATAACTAAGTTCCCAGAAGAGTTTTCTTAAACTTGTTAAAATTCATCCAAAATGGATTAAGCTCTTTACCAGGACTGTTCATTTCTTCCCAGGAGTTCATAAAAATTCTATGCAAAAAGTTCTGTTCTAAACAGTATTTGGGACATATTTTTCTTTACGCCGTATTTTATCTTACAACCAAACCTATTTCTTTAAGTCCTGCCTTCATACCTTTGCCCATTTATTGCCCTCACTTGGGATGCAGTTATCTTATTTCCACTTCTCACCTACCTAATCCTTTAAGGACTCGGCTTTATCTTTGCCATCCAGTCAAGTCTTTGACTTCAACCTTCAGTGATTTCTGCTTCTCTTAAATTTTTCTTGTAACTTATACAAGCATTTCCACAAAATTGGAACTTGAAATAGTACCCTAGACACAGTAAATTTATAAGAAGATCTCAGTGTACAGAAAATGTATAAACAACGGAAAGAATGACTTTCTTTTCCATGGGCGCCTGGGTGGCTCAGTTGGTTAGGCGACTGCCTTCGGCTCAGGTCATGATCTTGGAGTCCCAGGATCGAGTCCCGCATCGGGCTCCTTGCTCAGCAGGGAGTCTACTTCTCCCTCTGACCCTCCCCCCTCTCATGCTCTCTCTCTCTATCTCATTCTCTCTCAAATAAATAAAATCTTTAAAAAGAATGACTTTCTTTTCCACACTACTATCTGAAATTAATATGGGAATTATAATAAATATAGCTTCTATGCTGTTTCTATGTGATTTTGTTCATCTATAATATAGAGATTCAACTTGATAGCAACTGTTCCCCTCAGTTCTGAGATTGCTGCAATTTAATTAAAAATTTTGTTCACCTTTCTAAAATTGGAGGGGTCTTTTTTGGGGAAGTGATTTGTATGATTTACCATTTATGTAACTAAAGCCAACAATCAAAAGCTTTGGAATATGGGAGTACCTGATCATTCATCCCTCCTCTACTTCAACAGTTGAAAAACAGATCTAGAGAACCAATGAGAATGAAAACTTTGACTTTATTAAGGATAAAACGAGATGAGAATGCATGGGTGCAACCTGCATATTAAATGGCACTCCAGGGCGCCTGGGTGGCTCAGTTGGTTAAGTGTCCAACTCTTGATTTCAGCTCAGGTCATGATCTCAGGGTCATGAGATCGAGCCCCATGTTGGGCTCCACACTTGGCCTGGTCTGCTTGAGATTTTCTCTTTTCTCCCTCTGCCCCTCCCTCTGCTCATGCACACTCTCTCTCTAAAATAAGCTTTTTAAATAAATAAATAATAAATGGCACTTCCTACTTTATCCTCCCTCAGAATACCCAGCAGATCTGGGCCAGTTCACATACATCCCTTCACAGGCTGAGAAGTTGGAGCAGAGACTTGTATAATCTGTAGTGTTGTTCTGTTTCTGGATGCAGCCAAGTTCTGTGAATACCACTGTTTTATCTATGAGATAGCATCGGGCTGTGGGCAGAGAAAGGGGCAGAAGTTTTTCCTCAGCATGAAACTGATGTTGGAAACTTCCTCTTTCATAGGTCACAGTGATAGTAGAAGGAGGAGAAGAATTTCCCCTTGCAAAGGGAGTTTGTGAATTGGTGCTACTTTTCCTTTCTTAGCCTCTGTAATTTTGCAGAAACATCCAGCATCATTGACTACATAGTTTTGTTTTTTTAAAAAAAGATTTTATTTATTTATTTGACAGAGACTGAGACAGCGAGAGAGGGAACACAAGCAGGGGGAGTGGGAGAGGGAGAAGCAGGCTTCCCACTGAGCAGGGAGCCTGATGTGGGGCTCGGTCCCAGGACCCTGGGACCATGACCT